CTAGCCTTATCTTTAATAGTAATATATTATTATGACTCTTGTCCTTGTCCAGCTTGATCTCTACGCGAGATCGACAGCTGACAGCTTGAGTATGATGTTTGAGTGACTGTTTGATTGTTTCATTATCCAGATAGGTCATTTGTAAGTTGATGTTGGCAGGGAAGTGGATGGTCAACTGATGATCATCAATGATCAGTGGTCCAGAGGATAGCTTGTACCTGAGTGTCACAGTAGGGTGTCACCAAATTTGAGCCCGGTGTGCAGGGGTACAGATTTTTCTATCTACCCACTGTACATCTTCTAGTGAACCAGTGCCGGTCTTTGAGAGTGTACATTCTCTAGGGACCTCTCTGAGAGTGTCCATCTTCTAGTGAACAGTACCGGTCTTTTGAGAGTGTATGTAAACTCTCTAGAGTCTGGGGCTCGGATGTTGTGCTGTGTTGGGGATATGGGGTGTTGAGATGAACTCAGGTGACTGGAGACAAGCGTGTTGGAAAGGACAAATTTCATTTTAACATCATGGAAGAGAAAAGAGAAAACTGAGAAGAAAAGGAGAAAAGAACTATACCTGGAGACAAGTGTGTTGGAGAGGAATCAAGGATGAGGAAAAAGGAAATCCTCCAAGACACATGAATCCAGTATACAAACTAAGACAAAACAGCTGAATGTCACAGAGTGTGACATGGGATAAAGATGGCAATCTAGACCCGGGTACCCGCAACGGGTCCAGGTACCTCCCATGTTTTTGGCCCAAAATCAATACCCATACCCATACTCGGCACCCGCTGGACAGGTACCCGGGTGTTTTTGGTGGGTACCGGCGGTACTTTCAGCCTCACAGACACAAATTGATTTAATTTCAACCAGACACTTAGATTCACTTCACACATAATTTTCTACCTTAATTTATGTCAATCACTACCTGTTTCCCTTTTTCTTTCTGCCTCATCCTAGCTTTTTTTTCTGTTTTAAGCTTTGCTTCGAACCTATTGAGCTCTCCGGCTTTGATCTTATTATTTTTGGAATAAAACGCTACCGTCATTCCCCTGCTCACGGAAGCTGAACTCAAGCGGTGCCTTTTGCTTGTGACATAGTCACGGCCAAAGCTGAATGCCCGCTCCACATCCACGGACGTCGCTGAAAGAGATGAAAGTAAGCAAATTGAAAATTTTCAAAAGGAAAAAAAAAAAAAAAAGAAAAAAGATTCAACAAACCTGGGCAACTCAGGACATCAAGTGCCATGTTCAAAAGACCACCGTAAGTGTTTCCTCCTCGCTTCTGTTGCAGCCACCATTCAAGAGCATTTACTGGCTCGGATCCTTCCAAGATGAGGCCTCCAGAGAGCCAGATGTCTAGTGGGTCGGTTGACAAAATGCCTGAGCGTGCTACTGAAGCGGCACCAAGTTGAGCGAGGAAACCTGTTTGGGTCTGAAAAACCACCCTGAATTGTTAATACAACAACGGAGACAAGATGGATCCAAAGGAAACCGCTTACTTTTGGTTTTGCGACCGTATTTGCGGAAGCTGTTTCTTTGACTTGAGGCTTATAATGGGTCACCCACATCTCTCGGGTCAGATCAATTGCCACTTTGATCCACTCTGCACTCCAACCGGCGATTTTAAAGTACTCGTCTTTAAACGAGGGGTGGAGTACTGCAAAAACAACAAAAATCAAATGATTGCATTCAAAAAAGACATAAAACAAGAAATGACTTACTCATTGCAATTCGGTACAACGGAGAGCAGTCAGTTAGTGTGTAATACTTATTTGTGATCTGAAGACCCGCGCGACAGGCGTTCCTCAAGGCGGCTGGGTACTTCTTTTCAGAGATGATTGTTGACAGATGTTCAGTAACCTGGTCGATGAAAACAACACTGTGAGATAACTGGGGTGATCCTGCCGTCGATATTTGCAAGGTGATTTCATAGAATGGCTGGAGAGCAATTGCCAAATCGTTTGCCAATTCGATGTCACTAGCACCGACTTGGGAGTTTCGATTGAGACCATATTTTTTATCACGCTGCCACTCAAGACTGAATGGATCATCAACGTGTTGTTCAATCAATCTCAGCATATTGAACATTACTTACATCGCTTTTTGACACCGATTAACACTCGTTAGTTGCAGGAAGGTTGAGTTCCATCTTGTTCGTACATCCTGTGGGATTCTGTGCGGTGTTTCAATTGAGTGAGATTCACAGATTTTGCCAAATAACTCTTTTGAGTTGGGCGACTTTTTCAATTTGCGGGCTATTGCTCGAAACTGTTGGCGTATCAGATTATGGTGAGTTTGTTTAATTAAGTCAGGAAGTAAGAGCATCAATGCTTTTTTACTTACCTTTGCAAGAGTCTGTCGACAATTCTCCGAAGTGTACTGATCATTATCGTCCTCATCACTTAGATCGTTGATGTCATCGATATTCAGCTCTTCACCTTCAGCAACTTTGGAAACTCCCTCGTCATCCTCCTGTGAATTACAATCATCTTCTTCGACCCAGTGGGCATCAGGGTGGCCTTCAGTGTAGCTTAAATCATAAAAAAAAGTAACGTTCAAGATCAGCAGGCGAGAGTGCAATGAAATCAACGTTGAAGAACTTACAGCTGAATCTGATGTCCATCGTTGTCATCTTCATCTTCTGAATCAATATTTTTGTTGGACTTCCTCTCGGTTCCAAACGGTTTCAAGATAGCTTTAACAATGAGGTTGAGTATGTGCGCAAAGCACCGGATCCAATGGGGCTCTCCCTTGAATCGAGGCCATTTCAGTTTTTTCAAGTCGTCAATCATCACCGCGTTGTTGGAAGCATTATCGGATACTATGCCACATATCTGAAATAAAAAAACAAATTAGTTGCTTGCTGCATTGGGTATTCAGGCGGGTAAACCAAACAGAACATACCTTGTTTTGAACACCAAACTTCTCAACGACCAACTGCACCATTTCAGCCAGATAGTTGCCCGTGTGGCTTTGAGACAACTTGATGAAATCAAGTGGCATCGATTGGAGTTTTTGATCACGACCTTTTGACTCGTCAAGCCAGTAGATGACAATAGCAAGAATGTCGAAGCCATTGGGAGATTGCCATGCATCAACACCAAGATAAAATGCTCGGTTCTGGTTCTGTTGATTGGAGAAGAGATGAGAATGATGTTTGAAGATATTGCAAAGGCAGGAAAACGGAATCGAACCAACCTGTAACTCAAGCTTTAAGCTTTCCTGTACAGCTGTGTATAGGATATGGATAGATTTTGATACCATGCGTCGATTTGGTAAGTGCTTGAGGACCGTTGGGTGTAATAGGCGCTTGAGGCTCTCATCTTCCAATGCGGAGAATGGTTGTGCTGCCTCTGCACACCATATGGCACATTGTTGGTTCACCTGTTTGATGAATGGTCAATAAGCTGAAAAGAAAACTTGGTTTGTTGAACGGAACTCACCTCACGGACATCTACCTCACCGGTTCCGGAAACTCCAAGCGACGCAAGGGAACGAGTTTGATCCTTTTCGGTCTTTTTCTTGAGGCAACCGGCAGCATGCTACAGGATGAGTCGGTCATGGGACGGTTGATTCTGGTTCCACACCTACAGGGCAAGAACATTAATGAGTATAAAATACTAAAAAAAATCAAAAAGGCTCACATTTTACAAGGATATGCAATCATTCGTCGTCCGTTTTTGTCAAGTTGATTTGATAGCTCCGGGGTGTCGTAGGAAGCGTAACTGGAGCTGACAGCTGTTTTTGCAACTTTCTGTGCACGGGCTAAGATGAAAAAAGGTTGTCAGCTGAATAAATTCATCAAAATGGATTTGAGGAACTTACAAAGCTCTTCTTGATCGGTGCAAGGTGTTAGGCCTGCTCTTGCGGATTGAGTTGCATCATTGTTTGATTCTTCTGCTTGGGTTGAAGGTGCAGGGAATTCATTCGGATTGTTTAGTGTCATGTCGTAGGAAGCGTAACTGGAGCTGACAGCTGTTTTTGCAACTTTCTGTGCACGGGCTAAGATGAAAAAAGGTTGTCAGCTGAATAAATTCATCAAAATGGATTTGAGGAACTTACAAAGCTCTTCTTGATCGGTGCAAGGTGTTAGGCCTGCTCTTGCGGATTGAGTTGCATCATCGTTTGATTCTTCTGCTTGGGTTGAAGGTGCAGGGAATTCATTCGGATTGGTTGCAGAACTGGAGGGGGGTGAGCTGTCTCGCCGGACCTTCTTACGTGGACGGTGTTTCATGGTGGTTGTTGAAAGGTTTAATGGAAGGGGTGCGGTGGGAAAGTGTAGGGGATGTGTACAGATATCCCTGGATATGTATATATGATATAGATGGGTATTGGGCGGCGGTACCCGGGTACCCCATCAAAAATTCTTGGGAAATCAACACCTGTACCCGCACTTTGTACCCGGACCACGGGTACTCGCCCCTCTGATGAGTACCCGCTGGCGGGTGCCAGGTACCTCCGCGCGGGTACTCTTTGCCATCTTTAATCTCCATCACTTGTTTCCGATCAGTGAAGGGTTCAACATTACTGATGTTCAGGGGAATTGTGTATCCATCCCCGAACAATTGCAGCCACTTCTCCTTGCAATGTCTCACACTTCATTCTTGGAACACTGGGAGAAAGAGTTCTTACATCTGAAAGCTGTTGCAAAGAAAAAAAAATGAAGCTTGATTAAATCATCGGTTTGTTATATTTATTCAACCTTAATACAGTAATTCAACACATTTTCATTATTAGTTATTTTTTCATGTGTGCTGGTGCCCCTGAAGCTATGAGAAATGGCTAGCTGCAAAAAAAGCAGGCTTAGCGCCCCTGTCTGCAAAAAAAATGGTAGGCACGAAAAATGTATGAAAATTTTGGAAATCCTCTGAGGGTACGCATGAAACGTGTATGAATGGACTCTGAAAATGTATGAATTTTTGCAAATTTCGGGATTTTTGGTGCCGCCCATTTATAGGGGGTTGCCAGGGTCCTAAGGAAACTCCTCGTATCTCGCCGCTCGTGATGCAGGCCGAAGCACAGGCTCCCGAACAACAACCTCAGACACCTTTGGCTAGTCTCCCAATGCTCCCGACTGAGCACCCGGACAACACACCGGATGCACACGACTTCATGGCGATGCAAGCCGGGCTATGCTGGCAATGCCGATCACCGGACCACTTCCTCCGCGACTGTCCCATGCGCTCTCGTCCAACGGGTACTAGAGGCCGATATCGGGGCCAGATCCATCAACCCACGCCACAATACAACAGGCAAGGTGCAGGCTTTCAATCTTTCTACCCAATAGTCACGCCCCCCCGGCTTTGGAGCGGTCTACCCCCAGGCTCAACAGTCCCATCGCCCACAGCATGGACCCCTCAATGCGAACAACAACAATCCCCCGGCCAGTCAGAACAGACCCGCCGACTACTACCGACCACCTCAATACCGGCTTCAACGGGTCAACCCTCCGTCCGAATCCATCGGCTCCCAGCGACAGAAACCATCAGCCAATGAAGCCAGTGCTGACACCGAGTCACAGGGCGGCTCCGTGGCAAGGATGGTTGAACTTGGAGATGTGGCCGATGATCTGGCCAACATTCATTTCGACCACATCCAAGCTGAGGTCCCGAACAACCCACCTATTGTTGACTCTGGTGCGTCCCACCATCTATGTGGTGATCTCAAACTTCTTTCTAATTTCCGTCTCTTCCGCTCCCCTATTCCTCTGAAAGTTGCTACGTCTGGGAACCCAGCCTACATCACCGGCGAAGGGGATCTCACTTTCTCGGGCCTGGACAATCAACGGGTCACCATACATGGTGTGCTGTACTGTGAGCTTGCCCGCTCCACCCTGATTTCATTGGCAGCTTTGCGGAAAGCTAATGCGTATTTTGCATATGATATCAAACAGGACTGCTATTTGATCTATTCAAGCAATAATATCCTCTGCTTCAAATGCCCTTTCATCCCTCGACAAAACAAATGGATATTTCCTTTCCCTATCCCTTCCCTACACCATCCACATCCTGTTCCCAAACCCAGTTGTCACCCTGTTTCTGTGAATCCATGCAATGATATGCCTCAATCTGAACATTCTTTCTGTCCCATTTCCACCGAGCTGAGAGTTGACCTACGCAGAAATGCTTTTAAGACACCACTTGATACTGAACATCCTGAGTCCAACATCAACAGCAACAGTCTCGATAAGAATGAACAGGTTCTACTATACTGGCATCGACTGTTTGGACACGCTAGCTTACAGAAGATCCGCCAGGTCATTCAGGAAAAACTTTGCAAGAATCTACCGGTGTCACTTCCAAAGGGCGAACTGAAATGCGACATCTGTGCCCGGAGCAAAAGCCTGAACAAGAACAGGTTGACAAGTTCGGACAGACCAGTTAGTAGCTAGAAATAATCACGCTGACATTGTTGGACCTTTTGAGGT